CTTAGTACCCTAGCTACTTATTACCCTAGCTACTTATTACCCTAGCTACTTAGTACCCTAGCTACTTAGTACCCTAGCTACTTATTACCCTATCTACTTATTACCCTAGCTACTTATTACCCTAGCTACTTATTACCCTAGCTACTTATTACCCTAGCTACTTAGCACCCTAGCTACTTAGCACCCTATCTACTTATTACCCTAGCTACTTATTACCCTAGCTACTTAGCACCCTAGCTACTTAGTACCCTAGCTACTTATTACCCTAGCTACTTAGTACCCTAGCTACTTGATACCCTAGCTACTTATTACCCTATCTACTTATTACCCTATCTACTTATTACCCTAGCTACTTAGCACCCTAGCCATTACTTTAAAAAAGCCCGGTTATATTGCCATTGCTTGTAAGATACCATTTGCCATGATTTTATGTTGACCCTCGAATTAAAGCTCACAATTTAACCGCCCCTATTTCAGGATGTGTATATCAATTACCAGACAGAACTATTTTAAATTTTTATGTTAAATAATATATCTTCGTTTAAAACTGTTTAAAAACTGAGAGTGGACAATGGTAATATCTTTGAATTGTTTCATAACACCACTATATACTAGGTATACTTGTAGGGCCACGTATCCTGCAATGTATGTAAATTATATTTCTAGAAGGTTCTGTTGTTATAATATTTTTCATCTTTTTTTATATGTATACGTCAGTAGTAGAAAGGTGGTTTCCTTCTCCTGAGAACAGTAGTGCACCAAATACCAATTCTCCTCGAAACAGTAAAGCATTTAAAGTAATTCAGTGAACCGTTTTCTTATCCTGTTGATAACTTGGAGCAACAGATTCCTTATCCTGAAGACAATGTTTCACGCCCAGAACACTTACGGAATTCAAATGAGTGCCCTGCCGGTATTTTTGACTCTTGTTAACAGTAACATGCTCGTTCCCGTCTCCAGAATGATTATAAGGTAAAATGCCAGCACCCTCAAGAGAACAATGTCAATAACCTTCTTTGGATTTCAACAGTTCTACAGTTCCATAGGTATACAAATGTAAATAAACCTCAGTCAGCCTGTTTAGTTTGAAAGTTTGTTTCTTGTCTCTATCATGGACAACTTGGGTGTTTTCTTAGTGCTTCTACTTGTGAAGAAACCAAAGGTTCAGTTCTTCTCTAACCAGTTTTACCCTTTTGAAGTAGTGAGATTAACTATAGAACGACCTAAAATGAAGCGGTTTATAACGCGCAAAAATTGTGAACGTGCCTTTGTGATATATTTAGGAAGAAATTCGGATTTGGCGGGATAATCACGGACCTTGCATACGATGTATTTCCCGCCCTAAAGAATATACTAGAAGTTCTGGGAGAGTTTTCTACATGTTTGTCAGTCACAATTGTCTTTCTGCCGAACGGAAAAAAAATTGTAAGCAATTCTTCCGCTGGCGCCTAGCAACCACGCGCAATATAACCGAGCCGCGCGCAATAATTGATATCATATTGATGTAATTAATAATTTTAGCGTATCCAAGCTTCCAAAATCGACCATAACTTGACTTCAGATGATAAATTTACTAATTCATTAATATCATTCTAGAGGTAATCGTTTAAACTTCAATTCAGTTTCAAATTTTAGTCCGAAAGAAGGTAAATTTTGTCTAAAATCGCCACTAAAGAGACAAATTCGGATTTATGTATAGAAAATAAACATATTGGCAGAACTTTCGAAGTCTTCAGCATTCTCTCTGGTATTGAACTGTTCAATTTCTCAGGTTTATACAACCCCCGGAAGTACAGACAACAAAGCAGACATAATCTGGAATATCGATAACCTCTAAAGCTCTAAGAGGACCCAAAATAAAAGCAACTCCTGGAGGCTGGGATTATGAAAGATTTTCACGAAACTCACGCCAGCTGCTTCACACATTGAAAATTATGAGAGGCTGGTGGATTGAAGTGTAGTCAAACAGTCTTTTTCAACAGTAAGTCAAGTTTAGCAGTTTGAGATGCACTTATAGATTTTCTTTCCCTACTGCACTCGCCACTCAAGTCTCAGATTTGATTTTACTCAACCGTATTATTATTTAGTTCCTTTCATTAAAATCTGTTTCAGATGTGGACAGTCATGCCCACTGGACAACTAAAAAGTGCTCCTTCGTTACCCTCCTTCTCCAAACACTACATGTCAATAGTCCCAACAAAAAGTTATAAAACAAGCAGTCTTGACCTTCCTTTCCCACCATGACAGGCAGAATTAATATAGCTATCAAGTATTAGTAACTGCTAAAGAGGGATTGTCGTTGAGAGAGGCACTTAAAGGCACACCAAGTTTTACAACAGATAGAAACAGAATCCTTGGCAAACTGGGCCCAGCCCAAAACGGACCAAATCAGACTGATTAAAACTGCTCATATCTGCAGCTATAGCAGCAATTTAAAATCTATGCTATAGCTGATAGCGACGACTCCGAACTGAATACTAATCGATGCATATGCAATACTGCTCACGTCTGTTACTTGTATTTAAAAATAATCAGAGACAGACATTGTTATTTCTATTAAATTGTAGTATAATGATGCTTTGCGTATAGCTGCTTTGCCATTTCTAATTATTAATTTCATCCTAGAGTAAAACTTTTAATATAATTAACTAATCAATATTAACCTAACACTGTCACTAGAGAAGCTTTTTGATGAAAATAGTAAACAACTTGTTTCAGTTCAAACTAAATAAAGGTCAGACCGGGATTCGAACCCTCAGCTAGCACGGTCAATTGCCCTCTTAGCCAACTAGGCTATCGTGCCGGATGCCGAAAATCAATATTAACTATCATATTGTCGTGCTCGCGCATTCCCTACGCAAAGTTATTCTACTACGATGTATATTTTTAGCCATTTTGGGGCTATTGCGCGGCGCGGAAGCTTTAAACCGTCATAACTCTGTCCAGGAACAGTCTCCAGAACTGATTAAACTTGTGATCTCCTAGTCAGAGGATGTACTTTACGAAGATATATGATTTGTCATACCTGCGTCCACACAGTGGAATCACAAATGGGTATAGTCGCGAACGCAAAGAAACCGCAGGGGTACTGACCAAGTATGTTTAGTAAAGCACTAGTGGTTGCAAGAAGCATTATATTATTGGCTGCGCGGCGCGGCCCAGTAGTGCATCGCGCTACAACAAACATCGTCAAATAGATTACTCGAAGCTCAAAGCTGTAAAGTATTTATCCAAAATAATTCCGATCCCGAGGATTGTTACTGGGCCGCGCTCAGCCTGTCATTCCGCCAAATCTTTAATCGCCAAATCTTAATGTTTATGAACATGTACATAATAGCCTGGGTCCCCAGGTAAGAGGATTGACATAACTTATAAATTTATAATATATTAATTCTAAATACTGAATGCATCGCATTTTAAGGGTTTTGGTATTTTCGTAGCTAAATTGCACTAAAGCTTTCGCGCTTGCACTTCACACTTGCGCGTAGTTCGTAAACTGAAAACTCGTGGGTACGATATATGTGATTACTGAACAATAAATTCGGCTCGACTCTCATTACATTCTTTTAATAACTTGCTGTGCGAGATTTCAATACTATTAATTTGCAAATGCTAATTTAACATTTAGATCTTTACATCATCTTCTTTCACATAGCCATGTGTCTAAGCGTACTACTAGCGAGAGGGCTATGGTTAGAGCATAAACAGGTTATACTGGACGAATCTCACTCGTTAACGGGTGATACTCGTAATTTACTATCACGCGCCGCTTTTTCTCAAAATATTAGTCTAAGCCTATACCAGCCGGCAAAGTTTTTATATGTAACCTACATACAACGTTAAAATTAAGTTGAGTTTTGAACGTTGCTTATAGTTGATAAGGTAACCTTGATCTAACGTAAAATAATAAACGTTTTGCAACGTTAAAAATAAAACCTATAACCAACGTTAGATATTTAACGTTTAACAACGTTTTATATGTAACCTACATACAACTTTAAAATGTAGTTGAATTTTAAACCCTGCTTATAGTTAATAAGGTAACCTTGATCTGACGTCAAATAATAAACGTTTTGCAACGTTAAAAATAAAACCTATAACCAACGTTAGATATTTAACGTTTAACAACGTTTTATATGTAACCTACATACAACTTTAAAATGTAGTTGAATTTTAAACTCTGCTTATAGTTAATAAGGTAACCTTGATCTGACGTCAAATAATAAACGTTTTGCAACGTTAAAAATAAAACTTATAACCAACGTTAGATATTTAACGTTTATCAACTATAGCCATAGCTATAGCTGTCGCCACGATATCTAGCGCTAGATAGCGCTAGATAGCGCTATCTAGCGTTAACTGTCACAAACCGATATTCTCCGCTAGATAGCGCTATCTAGCGCTAACAAGCGTTATCTAGCGGAGAATGTCGGTTTGTGACAGTTTACGCTAGATAGCGCTATCTAGCGCTAGCTGTCGCCGCGATATCTAGCGTAAACTGTCACAAACCGACATTCTCCGCTAGATAGCGCCAGATAGCGCTAGATAGCGCTAGATAGCGCTGCGTCAGATGTCGTTGCGACATATAGCGTTAGATAGCGCTAGATACCGCTAGATGTCGCAAAAAAAAGGGCGGAAATTTTATGAAAATAGCGCTATCTGTCGCCTGGCGTCAGTGCTGCGTGCTTAGCGTCATCTAGCGTCATCTAGCGTCATCTAGCGTCATATAGCGTCATATAGCGTCATATAGCGCTAGATAGCGCTAGATAGCGCTAGATAGCGCTAGATAGCGCTAGATAGCGACATTCGAAAGGTGCCGTGCACTTAGCGACAATGTCGCTAATTGGCGTCATCTAGCGTCATCTAGCGTCATCTAGCGTCATCTATCATCATCTGGCGATATTTCACGCTAGATGACGCTAGATGACGCTAGATGACGTCATATGTCGAATTTCAACTATCAGTAAAGGTCCGAAGAAGATACAATTATACTCGCTTACCGGTGATCAAAGTCTTTGGTAATTATATTGACATCGGACTGGATATTCCTTATGATTTCATCACACTTGTTACTGATCTCGTTGATGTTACACAGATCGCTGTGGGTACCCACTATTTGTATTACACTTTCACCACCAAACTGCCTCAACATGTTCACAAACTTGCCAACACAACCTGGGTTAAATTGAGCTGGAGTTAACGATCTTTCAAAACATTTCAAAAGGCTTATTGCCGGAATATAATCCCTCCGTCCTGCTCTACAGCCTAGTCCCGAAAATTAAACTGAGCACTTACTGCATTAAACGGTTCATATATTTCGACGTAGTTTTAAGGTCTTAAAAAGTTAAAAGCCTTATAAGGGGGATTCAAAATTCTGATCGTCATAAAATTAATTGCCATAATCCATTAATTTATTAACCGTAACGGGTGATATCCGTATAACATAAATATTTATTTAAAATATTGTACTTCAGATTCGCAATATCTTCGATGAGTTGCAAAGCAGCTCGGCACGCGCTTTAGTTATAGGTTATAAACCAAAATTCACTTGCAAGCCCTTGAATCGAATTTGGCATAATTGTGCAACACGTTTCAGCTAGATTCGAGGAGATGATATTGAAGTAAAATTAAATTGAGATTTTATATATCTATATGTTACTCAAATTATAAAAATAGACAGTTTTTGGGTTTTCCAAATAGTTTCTGATTATTCTGATTTGCGACAAATGATATTGCACTGTTAGGATAAACGACGTTTCAAAGTAACAACTTCTTATTCATGCTGACAAAATTGGTAAATATGTGAGAAAACTGTCTCATAAAATTTATTAATCAAAAATGGCTAAACGACAACAAATTGTTCAAATACTCGACTAAAATTAGAATCAAAATCTATATATATACACCACTACTCGATCTGCTATTCAATAAACTTAAAACATCCACTAAGTCTAAACAGCAAGTACGTGATTGTGATCGTGTGATGGAATGACATGTACAGTGATAACAGATGATAAGATGTAAGTGATAACAGATGATAAGGTAAAAGATACAATACATGTGAGATGGTGTATACACAATGTGAGTGAAATTATAGTGAGTGGTTACTGATTGTGAGCGAGATGTGAAAAAACATTAAAAATTACTACTGCTAGAAAACTGAAACTGTATGCAATAAAAAGGGAATGAAACTAAAATATCTAAAATTCTTCAGTACTAGCTATGATAAAACGTTTAATAGTATCCAGTTCTTCTCTCTTGTTAATTGTAGGGTTCAGATTAATAATAAACATCGCTTCGAAAATCTTTCTTCTGACAGTATTGGGCTCAATTCTTAAAATATCTACTTCTAAACTGGGATTTAACCCCTTATGACAGCTCGAATAATGTATGGCAAAAGCTTGACTAACATTAGAAGGGGTAGCAGGGTAGGTAGCGTAACGTAAGTGTTCTCCTACACGAGCATGTACTTTCCTACTGGTTTCTCCAACGTACAGCTGGTCACATAATTTACACTTAATCTTATATACAACATTCTTCACTTCACAATCTTTATTACAAACTATCAAAGGACAAATTTTACATGAATTAATACTGCACACACGTTTATCATACGGTCTGTTACTACATAAAATATTTCTCAATTTCGAAGTAGGTTTAAAGTTTACTTTAATAGGTAAATTGTTCTGCTTTACATAATTTCTAATCTTATTGCTAGTACTGTCCGAAATAAAATCTAAATTAAGAACTGTCCTGGAATCATCCTCAACACTCTGACGCCTGTTAGAATTACTACTGTTACAATAACGTCTTGGGTTCTGGTACCCGTTTTTCTGTAATAGATCATCAAGGAGTCTGAGAGAGTGCTCCTTTTCCGCTGGGCCAGATGAGATACGGCAAGCCTCGCTATATAGGTTCTTCACTGTATTAATCTTAACAGACTCAGGATGGCAAGAGTTGTTGTGCAGGGTAATATCCTTTTGTTGCGGCTTGCGGTACAATCTGCTGGTTAATTTACCGTTTGGCTCGATCCGGACCTCAGTGTTCAGGAAGGGGATAAAATCGTCCTGTTGTTCTGGAAAGTCGACCTCCCACTTCAACTTTTTGTCCGGATCTTGGTCTGCAATCTGTTGAACCAGAGCAAGGGCTTCTTCTTTCGTCTCTGCAGTACTGGCAGCATCATCTATGTAGCGTTTGTAGAAGTTCGATAAGTATACCGATAGGTAGTGTCGATCGGTGTAGATAGAGTTCTTCTCGAACTTGTACACTCTAATGATGGCACAGAAGGGCCCTGGCCTCAAACCCATGAACAGACCATCCTGCTGTAGCCAGAGAGTCCTGTTATACACAAAGAAAGAGTTGGTAAGGATGTGTAGTAGGATCTCATGAATGTCTGTCAGGCTGAGTCCCATCAGGTCCAAACTGTCTCGGTGCTCTGTAGCTAGCTCAATGACATCGTCTATACAGCCCTGTACGTTTATGTTAGTGTATAAAGCTGAAATATCCGCGGCAAAGAACTTTCTCCTGGCAAGCTGTTCCTGAGAGATCTGGCGGAGCATCTCTATGTGCTGGATTAAATTACTCAGGTGACTAGGCACCTCATTAAGGAGAGGTTTAAGAATGGTCGTCACTAGCCAACTGAGTCTCTCTGTAGGTGAGTCCACGCAGCTGATGATGGGTCTAACCTTAACCTGCTCAAGAGGGATCGTCGAGCGGAAGCTCTCCGGAGGGTTCTTGTGGGTCTTGATTTGGACGTACATGACTGGGAGGCTGACATGGTCAGGAACTCTGATCCGTCGTTTGTAGTCGTCGTCAAGGTTCCGCTGTGATGAGATCTTCTTCCACAGGTTATTCGACTCCTTCACCAGGTTCTCCGTCTTCTTCTTGATGAGCTGTGTGAGCTGTTGAGAGGTGGGTTCCGCTACTGAGACAGTTTTACCGTTGATTTTTCTCGTGGGAAGCACACGCTGGTACACAGCTGTCTCCTGGAGGTGATTCTCTGTTAGATGCCGATGTGTGTCCTTAGTTGTCACCACAAACTCACCGCACTTGTCTGATACCGACACGTGTAACGTCCTGTCTGTCAGAAAGGAGCGTAAACCATCTTTCTGAAAACGAGTGAGGTTATCCTGTGGGTTGGTGTTAGTCACGAGGTCCTGTACAAAGCGGTTAAACTGTGCCAGCTTGTCCTCTAAAACCGGGTGAGTGGGGTCAGGTGTACTGGTGAATGGTGAGGGAAAGGGACACAATCTCCTCACTTTGCTGGAACTCGACTCCTCGGTGGGCTCAATCGGGGCACTAACTTCCGCACTAGTGTCTGAGTTGGCACGTTGAGTGATAGCGTGTTTGTGTCTGATCTTAAACACACACTGAGCGATATCAACGGCAACTTTATCCTTGAATGACTGGTCAATTCGCGGAGACACGGCGAAGTTAGGTCCGAGAGCTAAAACTGACTTCTGCTGCTCGGAGACACTGTCGATGTTGAGAGTAGTGACTCTGTCGTCAGCAGGTTGAGTAGTGGATGGAGGAGGAGGAGGAGTAGGAGGGTAGTATTTCTCCAACAACCAAGAAAACTTCTTCTGTAAACGGTCCTTATAATGCTGCTTAACATAACGCTGGTGTTCCTCGCAAAAATTATAAAGATGCAGGCCAAAGAGTTTACAAACTTATTCCTGGACAGGTTAGTGAGGCAGATTGTTCACTGCAGTTCAGGAGGTAAGCTTGGTCAGGACTCACGCACAACTTGCCGAGTACCATATATGAGTTGTTTGCTCAAGCTAGACGACTGTTTGGTGAGCGTACGGTATGTTAGTTGATCATGAATTTGATGAATTTATAGGCTAGAAAGATTCTGATTTTCTCCAAACTTTCTTGAAATTTTAGTCTTAACTTTCTTTCTAGAGCCAAAATTTCTCTCGAAGTTTTCATTTTTCAAGGGTCAAGTTAGCTGGAAATCTTTGCCTTAAGAATATGAAGCACTTTTCAGTACACAGAAGGGAGCCTAAGAGCACTTTTCAGTACACAGAAGGGAGCCTAAGAGCTTAAAACTTAACCACGGTTTTTTACTAGATTTTGATTGGCTATTTTCGTTCTTGAATCTTGTCAAACTGTATTGCCAAATAAACAGTGCTAAACTCGATCTTGTTTTCGTTAATCAAAAAAATTCTAGACTAAAAGAGCTTCCTTTGCTGTAGGAAGGAATGTTCTTAATTTATTAATATCAGGAACTAGTGAAATTACGGTAATCTAAATAATCTTACTTTACTAGATACGAATGTATTTAACTTTTCAAGTAGGTTGTGTCCTATAATCGCCCCTAAGAAACTCTAAAATTCCTCTGATTGTAATAAATTAACTCTTATTTTGTTAATGGTATTATTAAAAAATATCGGACAAGATGAAAATAATTTCCGATCTCACGGTACCTCGTAGCACTTGCCATTATTTTAAATACTTTGGCAAGAAATTTGACAGCTAATAAATAAATAGTTTAAACTATCGACCCGTTTCAAGTTCAGTGCTGTTCGAATAACCATTTTCTTGGAAACATTAATGAGAAGTGTCTGCAGTGGCCTGAAGGTGGTTATTACCTCACCTTAGATTCTGTGGTTGATGAAATTGATATCAACAGTAAACATGTCTGTTTGCACTGAACTGATAGTTTCAGTAAATTTGTAGACCACTTAAGAGTAAGCCTATTGTTTAGAAACTGATTTATGATGTTGTCTGGGTAGCTGGATCTGTGTAACTGTAAGTCTTTCATTTCACAGCAGCAACCAAAACTTCTAATGGTTTTATTAAGTGGTTTTAGATCACAACCAAATGCTAGCAATATAACTTGACGTCTACAGTCCAGCAAGATTTGTATATTCTAAGAGTTGCATTTTGTTTTGATCATTAACGTTTCACCGATCATATACAATCGATCAGGAACCTATTTTACTATTAAACATAATAATCCCCATCGTTCGTTAATCGTATTCATTATAGCTCTGGCTTACTATCCTGATTCATAGTATGAGGGTAGCACTGTAGTGCATACTGATTTAGAGCTGATGTCACTCTTGCTGACAGGCCACGCGCAGTTTATTCTATATTATAATTCTTGTAGTGGTGAACCCGTTTGACGGATCTTATTCGAGTTGACATTCAGAATTTCTAGGGACCTTACA